TGATACAGTCAGTAACATGGGTGAGACAGTCAGTAACATGGATGATACAGTCAGTAACTTGGGTGATACAGTCAGTAACATGGATGATACAGTCAGTAACATGAGTGATACAGTCAGTAACATGGATTAGACAGTCAGTAACATGGATGAGACAGTCAGTAACATGGGTGATATAGTCAGTAAAATGGATGATACAGTCAGTAACATGGGTGATACAGTCAGTAACATGGATGAGACAGTCAGTAACATGGATGATACAGTCAGCAACATGGATGAGACAGTCAGTAACATGGATGAGACAGTCAGTAACATGGATGAGACAGTCAGTAACATGGATGAGACAGTCAGTAACATGGATTAGACAGTCAGTAACATGGATGAGACAGTCACTAACATGGGTGATACAGTCAGTAACATGGATGATACAGTCAGCAACATGGGTGAGACAGTCAGTAACATTGGTGATACAGTCAGTAACATGGATGAGACAGTCAGTAACATGGATGATACAGTCAATAACATGGATGAGACAGTCAGTAACATGGATGATACAGTCAATAACATGGGTGAGACAGTCAGTAACATGGGTGAAAAATTCAGAAGCAAACATATTTTTGAAGAAATACTGAAACCCAAATCAGGATATTGGAGATGAGAGAAGTCAGTGAATCAAACAAACAGTAGACAGCATTACCAACAGAGTGGACTGAGCAGAAGGAAGAATATTGGGTCTGGAAAACACGCTTGGGATAGTACTGCATTTCAGACACCAATGGACGGGTGGATGGAAAATAAACATAGAAATACGCATGTCCGTGGCTTCTATGAGCTCTGTCATATGATCAAGGGGCTGTACTTCTCCAGGGAGGAGAAGGAGCTGAGACATAGAAAGTCTATTCCGTGAAATTAAAGCAGAAATCCTCGAAATCTAGGAAAAGAAATGGCTGCCCAAGCATTAGAGCCATTTCAGAACCTCAAAATGTAAGACTAGAGAAAAAATTCTCCATGACATAGTATAGTCAAGATGTCAAAGTCTAAAACAAATAAATAATAAGAGGAAGCTGGGCGGTGACGGTTGCCTGTCTGTAATCCCAGCGTTTGGGAGGGGGAGGCAGGAGGATCAGGAGCTCAAGGTCAGCCAGGGCTACATGGGGCTTCAACTCAACAGAACAAAACAAAAACCGTAAGAGGAAAATGCCGAGTCATTTACAAAATCAGACACATTAGGATACCATCCGATCTACCGACAGAAACCCCAAAAGCTAACAAAGCATAGGATGACATATTTCAAATCCTGAAAGTAAATAACTGCTGACAAACATTGTTATATCCAACCAAGTCATCTCCCAAAGCGAACGCAGCAGGGAACGCAGAGGAAGAGAGAGAGGACAGAAAGATGGTCGGAGCCAAAGGACCAGGGACTGGACTTTGCTGTGAGATTGTGTCTTCTAGCAACATCAAAAGCTACACCCACAAAA